CTGATGTTTTTAGGCCTTTCTGAAATCCTGCTTCTATGTAAGAGGTGAGGGCCAGTACTTGTTAGCAGCAACTACGCTTTGGTCTGAATCCTGCTTGCTCATGCGGTAGATGTTCATTTATAATAGGGCATATTCTGTTGTAGGTTTCAGGACTTTTTCCCGGTTTGAGGATAGCGAGAGTGTGAGACATTTTAAATTCATTTGGAAGCCGTGCTGTATTCAGTATGTCGTTAAGGAAGTCTTTAATCCATGTTCTTGCTTTTGGCCCTAGGTGTTTAATAAATTCAGGGAAAATGTTGTCGACGCCAGCTGCTTTCCTTAGTTTAAGGCTTTTTATAGCAGTGTTCACCTCGTCGTTAGTAAAAGGGGTTGAAAACTGTGCGTCTTCTTGTAATGTATTCCTCTTCTGATCTAGTTCGTTTTGTACTGATGTCATGTCCTCTTTGCTTATGGTTACGCACTCGGCTCTTTCTTTTATGTGTATCGCGATCTCTTTTGGCGATACTGCTGGTTTGGGGATTGGTATGTGGGTTGCAGCCCCCAGTCGTCTCAATAGGGACCAGCTTTTTCGACTTGAGTGGGTAAAATTCAGGTTTTCTGTAGTTTCTTCCCATCTTTTCCTTCTTTGTTGATTTAGAGATTCCAGCAGTCTACTCCCCACTTGAGGGTTATTTGTTTCCCTGTACTCTTGATATAAGTTTTCTGTATCAGAATTCCAGCATGGTATGTAGTGTTTTCTATGTCCCCTGGGAATATTTCTCTTGGCCGTCGCAATCATGAGGCCAACAAACCTGGTGTAGTTTCCGACTTTAGGTTGAACAAACCGTATATTTGATGTAGGCCAGTCCGCTTTCTTGAAGTTCCATCTTGGCTTTTGGACTGATTCTATCAGTGGGACCTGTATACCGATGGTTACAGTGACTGGACGGTGTTGAGTACGAGGGAAACTAGGAAGCACCCTCCTCATATGTGGCAAGGGGGTTCGTTCCTCATCAGTGGACACAATACATAAGTCAGGGTTGGTATCTGTCTGCCATCGTGCTGAGCGGAAGGTTTTCAGGTCTTTAGCGTCATAAATGAGATATAGATCTTGTTCTTCAATCCATTGCATCAAGGTTTCTCCATTGTCGTCATTAGTATTGTATCCCCAGCTGGTGTGGTGGCTATTGAAATCCCCGAGAAAAATTGTTGGGGTGTTTTCATTTAGTAGTGGAGAATTTGGCCATCTTAGGTGAGGTCGTTTATATATTGAGACTATACGTATTTGGGGAAGTTCGATTGTTATTGTTTCTATGTCATTTGCATTGGTCTTCTTTCCCACAGTAAAGTTGTCAAGGTCACTGCGCAGGTACATGATAGATCCGTACGTTTCCGAAAGGATTGCTTTTGTACATTTGTACATTTGTTTAAAATTTCAAAAGCGCCTATGTACCGGGAAAAAATGTTTGTATTGATGAAATTTCGGTGCCCTTTCGAGGCCGCCTTAGTTTTCGTCAATATATTCCATCGAAGAGGCATCGGTACGGAATAAAACTCTATAAATTATGTACCGATAAGGGTTATACATGGAACGGATCAGTTTATTTTGGGAGGTACCTAACTGATAATAGGAAGCAGAGTGCATCTGAAAATGTAACCTTGAAACTGATCGAGGACCTATTAGAGGCAGGTAGAACATTATATGGAGACAACTTCTACACCAGCGTGCCGCTAGCTGATAAACTGCTTGAAAAACAAACGCACGTCGTGGGTACGTTACGCTCCAATCGAAACTTAATTCCTCAAGAGATAAAGAATGCCAAATTAGCAAGAGGCGAAATAATTGCGAAAGAATCTCCATTTGAGAACGGAAACTGTGGCAACAAATTGAAAAAATAAAACCCAAATGACGGGGGCAAGTCTCCAGTCGATGTTAGTGACCAGTCCTATGATACAGCCATTAGAAGATATAATAAGTGGTACCGAAAGCTGATGATATTTTTATACAATCTCAATTCAGTGAACCCAAATTTCGTCGCTACTAGAAGTACCAACTTTCCCTGATGACCAAACTGCCCCAACTACAAGTAGGAGAACTAAGGCAAATGTTACGCATCACTTGATTACCTATGAACAGAAAAAAGAGCTAGTTATTCTAGTTACTACCAGTTGTATGGCAAAAAAGGAATTCAATGCGAAGGGTGCCCTCATTTTTGTAAAATTTGTTTTATAAGACGCTTGTTAATTAATTTTTGGATTCTATCTAAATTGTTGTAACACTTTCTGTCAATTAAAACAAGGCGACTTGGTTGCAATTGAAGATTACAATTTATCTGGAAATAATATTATGAGGGATTTAAAAAAAGTTAAATTTTCTAATATTGCCCATGGTGTGAAGTACACCAAATAATATTACACAAACTTTTATTACAATTATTCGCCATTAATTATTTAATTAATTAACGTATAGGACAAAGACAACAATTCCCATTACTAACTCTAAATAAAATTTGCCTTACAAAATCGATATTCGCTGCATTACCATCGTCGTTTAGATCGAGTTCACTGCATGGTCGTACTACTTGAGCTCTAAAAATAACTACGACATCGAGGCCTTCGGTCATGAACCCATCCCGTGTAAATGCTCAAGCGTCTATTCTTGAAATGCAAGTAAGTATCCGCCACCAAAATCCCAAGCAATACTCGTTACACACTGAACATCAACCAATGTAATGCAATTTAACTCACTTTCTAATGTAATTTTTACTTTTAGTTAGGTTATCCGTAACGAACAACAGAGTTATTATTTTATTATTTTTATTTTATTTATTTATTTACGGTTTAACCAATTCACAAAACTGTTACATACCTTAAAGGCAAACAGAGAGAAAGACAGCAGTATAACAGACAGAAACCAGAACAAAATGTCACAATAACAATAAATAGGATTACGTGTTTAATTTTGGAAAATAGCACAGTGTCGCGTAAAACTGAGATACCCCGTAAAAGTATCCAAAATGGGATACCCTGTACATTAAATTCAAAATATTATTTATTTCTGAACTAAATAAGTAAAGTCCCGGGATCTTCATTAGAAACCAATTCATTCCTACCATTAACTGACATAAAAAGCTTATCAAACGTGTGCGACCAATCGGATGTTTTCGGAGATCTTACCGCACGGCTTGAATTTTGACGTTTGTCAATTTTGACTGTCATGTCAAATTGTTTCGACCAATCGTTACCCAGATCTCGAGTTTGGTGATGAGCGCAGATACTTTCGTGAAACTCGAAACAGAGAAAAATAATTCAGATAAAGCTTTATTAACATTTGACTTTTTCAGAACTTATAAAGAAAGATTATATTCCATGAATCCTAAAACACCTTCATTATATTATTCAACTCGTAGTGTCTTTCGCGGGTTCACCTTGTTTTTAGAAATATAACCGGCCTTTGAGAGCATTTATTCAGTGGAGTTGACAAATTGAAGAATGTTGATATTCCAGACAGTACTATGTTGATTTCTCTCTATTTATTTCCAAGCGTTCCAGCTGTCATCGATGGTATAGTTTTTCTGTTGACGATTGCGTTTGAACAAAATTTCTTTTTCTACTCCCGTCTGAAAAATACCTAATTACTCACCGATCTAGCGTGCGGGAAGCGTCACTTTACCACATCAGTTTCTTTTGCCATGAATCCGAGCCACTTCGGACATTTCCGGGATTTTAGCGCACGGTTTGACATTTGTCAATTCTGACGGTCATGTCAGTGTATGTTGTGTTGTTAATACACAGAAAAATGTTATGCAACATATCAGACAAATTGAATAACTACGTGCTTAAGCTACAATTAAAATCTAGTGGACTAGTCGGTAAGTAAAGTGACATTAAGTTTCTCACAGAAATTTTACATACCGTTCTCATGAACTTTGGTGTTTTTTACAGTTTTTATATTAATTATATTAATGTCTTGCCAAGACCAAATGTACCAAATATCCATGTTTCATCAGTACAAACAAAACAAAATTGAAGGTTGGGACCTGCTTTTTCTTGCTTATATGATCTTACAAATTTAATTGTCTTAAAAGCTCTATCCTTGGATGATTTTTCTTCCAATTACATTCTTTTTCTTTAATGGCAACTGCTAAATGTGTTGTTTGAATGGTACGAAATTTAGTAATCTGATAATCTGTTATTTTTAATTTGTTAACTTGTGATTGTGTCGTGACGGTGTTAGAAAAAATATAGTATGCAACACGTTTGGTAAATTCTGTATCTCACTCGTTTATTAGACTCGCTAGTCAAATGTCGTTTACCGCATAATCTACTATTTCTACGACCGTTAGTTAGTTTTTGATCACACTTTTGCAAAACAACACGAATACATTCACTGACATGATAGTCAGAATTGACAAACGTCAAAATTCAAGCCGAGCAGTAAAATCTCCGAAAACATCTGATTGCTCCCAAATCTGTGCCGTTATATCCTCAAGCTAGATCGGTACATTATAGAAGGGAGTAGAAAAAAACTTATATAATACATATATTTTTATTCTTATTATAGAACAACACATATTTAATATGTGAAAACATTATGCGCAAAAAATATTTTATAAAACAAAATTTGTCTGCAGGTCTTCTAGAAAGGGCATGGAAGCTTCCATTTGGAGGATGGTGGAGTTAAATGCCGCTCCAAGATCGACTAGATGAAGTAGAGTGTAGTCGTGTAAAATGTTTGGAAATGGTTCAAGAATGGGGAATAGACAGAAGGGTTGCTCGGTAGTGATTCTATTCTATGATGGAAAAGGGGCTTGGGAAGTTAAGACTTTCCTATTTTTTACATTTTAGAGAAACACGCCCACTTTTAGCTTTGAGAATAATGACCGGATTCTCAACGAGTAAAAGCCTTCTCAGTCCAAACTCTTTTATTAGCCTTCCATGTTACACATACTGAAATTGAGTACCTACAAAAATGTCCTCATCGAATCTAAAAGGTTCTTTTCCAACGCTGCTTCGGATCGCTAGTTTTCCTTATTCGTTTTACGCTTTCTCGTCGTTTTCAACCCGATTTTATCCGAACTGGACGTTTCGGCAGCTTCAGTAGTCTGTTTTTTCGGTCTTCCCCTTTTTCGTTTACCAGTTTCCACGTTTCGCGGACCACTTGGGTCGTAGTTTTCGTTCTTCTGACGTAGCTGGTTTGAGGACGCTGCCTGACTTCTATTGATGATCGTCAAAAGCTCTTCTTGGTCAGACGCGTGTTTGTCTTTTTCCGGGAACAGAGTCAGGATTAGGAAATCGAAGTTCGTGTCCTGTCTCAGGTCCCTTTTAGATACGAGTTTCGTACGGCACGTGGGGCACTCCTTCTTTCCCGATCTTATCGCGGATATGATGCAGTCGTAGCAAAATCTGAAACGAAAAGAGTGGGTTAAACCTCAATTGTGGCAGTGACTTGAGAGTGTCTCCCATTTAAGAGCGACAAAATGCACTGAAACTTAATAAAACGAGGTACTATTAGGAATTTTTAATTTTTAAATTCTTATTCGAGAGTGGCCCATTCATAAAAGAGCCCGGCCCTATCTCAGGAGCCGTTAGTCATACAACTTTGTTTAGGTTGTTTATAGAATCCTATAGACCCTAGGATTTTTCATTGGTAGAAAAAATAATAGAATAGAATAAAATTTTCGATTTCATGAGTGTGTTGATATTTTTCGTCCGGTCTCTCCAATGTATTCTTTGCCGCATATGCATGGAATGCTGTGAACTCCTGGATCTCAACTGGAATTTTGTTTTTGACGGACCGAAGATGTCGAGAAATTTTTGGACAAGTGGTAATTCTGGTTTCGACGTTATACTTCTTTAGAACTTTTGATATTTGGTCCACAGTGGCAAGTGTAGGATTTCTTTCTCTGTTTTTGAACTCAATTTAGTTTTAAAGAGTATTAATTCTTTTACGAGTTGGTAGGAGGCGCTTCATGTCAAAAACGGCAATTTTTATGACTTTCAAATATAATGGTATATATATTTTTATGAAATAGCGTAAAAAAACCTCTTTGAGTTATAAATAAAAATGTGTTTATTAAACATAATTTTCAACCGTGGCATAGTAATAGTAATAATACTCGTCAATAATCAATAATAGTTAAAAAATCACATGTATTGTCAATATTGCAGAAAAGTTTAAAATAACCTAGTAGGTTAAGCGGTGGGGCACAACGGGCCCATCTGGTGGCCTAAGTGATTGGACGCCCGCGAGGGCGCCCCCCTTTAATACCAATACCAATACTATAGGCTTAGCGGTTGGCATAGTAACGGCTCATTTTTCTCCATTGGTTTGGGAATATTTGAACTTAATGTTTCCCAATAGGTGGATAGACAGAGGAAGTGTGTTCTAAATGTTATTATAGTCATAAAAGGTGCATTAAGTTTACTTAAATTATTTCTCAATTTAATTATTATAGATCGCCTGATCTAACGTGCTTAGATTTTTATTTGTGGGACCGAATTAAAGATTTCGTCTATGCAAGACGACCAACTACACGGCCGAGCAGAGAAGGCTGCTGCTTTTCATTGAGAATGGTGGACGCCATTTTAAACATTTGGCTCGCCATTGATGATTTTATGTGTGTAGTTGGATTTTGTTTAGTGTTGGGTTTTATTTGAATTAAAATAGGTTTATACAGTTAGTACATTGCGTTAGAATTCATAAATTGCAATTATTATAGAACCCAGCCCAGACATCAAATTGTTGTGGTGTTTTCTAAAGAATTCTTTGTAACCTAATTTCCTCCCAATCATGTTTTATACATAAAATAAAATAAAGGTAGTGTCGAACCTTAAGTATAAATTATCACCCCTTCATAATATGTCATGATATGCCATCCTTGCTTATCTCTTATAATGCTTCTATTTTACCTAGGTAAAAAAGTATTTTTAAAATAATTTTTATTTATATCTCAGTGCGGGTGTCATGCCGTTTTCACTATTGGCTGTGTCTTTTTACGATTTTTCATCCTAGCTAAAAAACTTTTACTAAACCAATATTTGACCCTTTCCCGCCATTAATTTTAAGAGATAGAAAAAAATAGTTCAAACAAAAAAGTTTCCGAATCTAGAGTAGATAACGTTAAAACTAATTTTGATATAGGCTAATTTGGAACATTTTTGAGAAAGCCCATTTTTTCTATTTTGCAGTAGAGGTTACGCCCCCTAGAGGCCAGTTTATGACCATGAAAATAATTTCCAGCTTTTTCTCTGGGTCGATTTACCTATAAATATAAAGTTGTAGGACCAATGGTTCCTGAGATATATATGTTCAAAATAAAAGTCAACAAACCTTTTCAATGTTTTAAAAAATACACATTTAAATTTGTTTAAATAACGATTATTTTATTCAAATTTTAATAATACACATTCGAGTATTAAAAAAAAGAAGTTTTATTTTTTACTATCATCTTAAGGAAAATACTCAAATAGCATTAATACCCCTGGAATATACCACCAACTTTTTTCTATAAATCACTGTGAAAAGAAAAACTTATTATTATTATTATTTTCCGATGAATTTTCGGCTTATTAGATTGACTAACATACAAGAACTACGTTCTTACCATTATCTAAAAGTACAGAAGACTGAGGAGTTGAAACTGGCTGTTGGCGAAACGCCAGCAATTTCTATTCAGCAAAAACCGATGCAGGAGGAATCCAGAAGTTTTGTAAAAAGTATTTCAACATAGATTTTCTATGAATACGTAAAACATCAATAGGTTCTTTTATTTTGCCAAATAAGAACTAATGCTTACTAAATAGTATATTATGCAACAAGTGCGGCAAACGGCATTTGACTCACGAGTTAATTTGGCACGAGCGGAGTGAGTGTTTAATTAGTTTTTGGTTACATTTTTACAAAACAACACGAATACATTCACTGACATGACCGTCAGAATTGAAGCCATCCGGTAATATCTGCGAAAATGTGCGAAGCGACACCCTATATATTATACAAAAGAATATCTTGTTCCGATTGCAATGATATAACACACTTTTTCTACTCCCGTCTTTAAAAACCTAATTACCCACTGATCTAGCGTGCGGGAAGCGTCATTTTACCACGTCAGTTTCGTATTTAGCCCCTCCATTTTGAAAGGATATAAATGTAATGCATTTAAATTTCGTAAAACTGAAAAACTAAGTGAAGCACAATGTCAAAGGAGGATGCAGTTTTGTTTGGATTTTTTTAAACAGACGAAATGAGAATAATAACTTTTTGAAAAACATTTTATGCATCGATGGAAGTACAAGAAAGGCTTGTAATAGACAAAATACAAAAAAAAATCAATTAATGTATGGTATGGTGTCATATTTTGGGTCCGATATTCATAGATCAAAAATTAACTGGAGATCATTATTTGCACCAAATAGAACAATATATGCATTAGCATCGCTATATTTGACATACCAAAACGAAATCTTGCCGCCGAAATAAATGCGCTTACCTGTGGAGACAGTTTTTCGTGGTCATCGTCTTGTTGAGTACCTCCAAACATATCGGACATACGAACTCGGCCTGCAAGGCCCTAGCGTTTATTTCGACGTCACTTTCGAGCAAGTTTTGCGGCGTACGGTTTTCCTCGTAGAGGTTTAATTTTCGTAAATTTTCGACGAACGCCATCTACTTCCCGCCCCTTTCAACTCGAGAACTACCGACACCTATGTCGTTAAGAACCCTTTTAAACTATTCGGGACTCTTTAACGACCCAGGCACAATTCAAAACTGAGTAGTTTAATCGGAATTAAAGCGAAGGAAATTTCAGTATTCCATTGGCGGTAAATAATTTTATGACTAGGGAACACCTGTAGTAAACATTAAAGGCCTAAGTACACCTGGCAATAAAACGCTCGTTAATGATATATCTGTTCGGTGTGAGGACATTAAACGAGGTAAATATTTAATTCCTTGCGTTTATTACGACAGTTTAAGTATCGGCTTAGCTTTTTGACAGCCTAAATTTAAGAACGATTAATTGACATTTAATGTTACCTCATTTGGGCCATGTTATGCAAGAGACTTCGAACCCTCAAATCAATAATATCGAGATGACCTTTTTTTATAAATGAGAAAATTTGCAGCCGACGCATACATAATTGAATACAAAAAAACTGTAACAATAGCGCAAGTATCATCTTACTTTACAGTATAGTAGGTTTTTATTTACCAAAAAAATACCAAAAATTTTGTGGCTTGGTACGATTTTGCAAAACCAAAAAAAGGCAATAGGAAGTAGCAACAGAGAATAATGAATTAAAATATAAAATTCGATAACTTGAGTATCTACTCTGCTTCAACATTGAAATCTTGCATCTTCACCTTCAACTATACGTTTATCTGATTTTAAGCTAATATAAAAAATAAGAGCATCTCCAGGTATAAGCCTTAAGTGCTGAAGTTTCTCTTCAGAGATTGGTTTGCCATGTGGCCACAAAGACACTAGAGATGTGAAATGTGAACTAATGGTACGGATGGGATGGTCTTCCTCTTTTTTTTATACTTTTTGCCTTGTATTCATTTGCGAAATCATGTTCTTTAACTAGCATTATAAACGGGTCATTTCTGTTTCTGTTTCGGTTTGTCGTCTGTTTACAATGTTTTTTTTTCAATATTTGAAAAGCAATAAAAATTCTTCTATTTCATTTTTGTTACTGTAAATGGCTCTTTTTTGAGGCAGTTTCTCATAATATCAATTTCGTCAGGCGTTAGAATGATTTTAATTTGAGTTTGGAAAATTGTTTAGAGATTTGGGGTATTTTTTACAAAACTTCTGGATTCCTCCTGGGTTGGCTCGTATTTTACTTTGTACCTGCTTATATATTGTTTGAGGGACATAAACACCGTCTGGGATGACTGATTCCCATATTAGTCACAGGTGGAGACCTGAGTCGCGGTTAAGATTGTTAGGTTGTTTATAGATTTCTATAGACTCGGATTTTTCGTTGGTGGATGAAATAATTTTAGTTTTATCGAAAAAAATTGTATGTCCAGTTTCATGAGTGTGTTCGGCAACAGATGATGAGTTTATTTGTCTTAGTCGTAAGGCTCTGTCGTGTTCTTTGAGTCTAGTTGATATTTTTCGTCCGGTCTCTCCAATGTATTCGTTGCCGCATATGCATGGAACGCTGTAGACTCCTTTTATCTCAAATGGAATTTTGTCTTTGACGGACCCTAGATGTTTTGATCTTATACATCTTTAGAACTTTTGATATGTGGTCAGTGATGGTTTGAATGTAAGGAAGGGCCACAGTGGCAAGTGTAGGATTGCTTTCGGCCTCATTGCAATTGGAAGGTTGTGGTGAAGTGTATTTTTTGATGGAATGCTTAATATCTTTAATGTGGAAATTATTAGAGAGAAGAACAGAGCCTCTGTAAACAAGAGATAACCGATGATTTTTGGGCCGGATGGTGATGTGATTATGCATTAAGGTATCGGTCTGTGTGCGTAGGTTTTTTCTGTAAACACAATGACCCAGTGTTAGATCTGATTTTCTGTGGATAAGAATATCTAAGAATGGAAGGTGATTATTAGTTTCCAACTCAATGGTAAAACGTATGTTAGGGTGTGTAGAGCTTAAATGTCTAAGAAAATATAGACGATAAGGCCAAAAAACAAAAGTATTATAGACGTAGCGTTTCCATAATTCTGGTTTTAGATGAGAAGTGTCAAGAGCTTTCTTCTCAAAGGCTTATACGGGTTATCTTGTTACAAATTGTATTGTCAAAAAAGGTGTATGCTATATAGATAAGTTGTGTTGGGTAGCTGACTTAGTCAGCTATAGTTCGCCCTTTGAGAATTTAGTATTGTATAGTGTGTATTATGTATATCATATATCTCAATTCTCAATAAAGATTATTATTATTATTATTATTATTATTATTATTCAAACTGTATAATCTCGTGTGTCAACCTTGTGGGTTGAAAGTTTTATCCAAAAATGAAGAGTATGTATTTTTATTCCGCTTTTTTTACAAATGGGAATTTTCAAGGTCTAGAGTCGACATTGGGTTGCAGAATAGTGTTGTATTAATTATTGACCATTGACCAGATTTCCCGTTTATCAATTTTTTTCATATAACTTAAAAATATATAATAAAATATAAAGTAAAAATGTAAAAAAAAAACAAATGACTTAGTTTGGAGGAAAAATGGTCGACTTTAATCGAGTATCGAGTCTCGTGATCCCGCTGCTGGGCCGAGTCTCAATAGACACTGAACGATATGGCGATAGAATGATTACAACAAAATAATATGCATAAAAATTGGGCCCATAACCTTGCTCCACATTGTCTGTCCGATGGGCGGGTCCACAACCCAACAATGGTCGAACGATATAGTTAAAAGTGTCCACGCGAATAAAGCAAAAATAAATCACTTTGTTACAACTTTATTGCCGCACAATTGCACAGTATGTAGTCCACATAGTTGAAGCTGAGTACTTTACTAATCACATAAAAATTATATGTTACATGTTGCAGAACTCGTAAATTAAAAATTATTAAATTAGCAATGGACAAACAAATGAGAACATTTTTTAATATTTCCAGTACTTTGCTACAGAAATAGTCGGGATTCATTGGACCGAGGTGGCTGTTAATCGATGAAAATCCATTTAACACATTTAAATAAGAAAAAATAGTGTTCAGATTTTCACAGTATTTGTTCATTTATGACAGCTGCTGGTCTAAATTAATTGTGTTCAATGGCATCAAGTAAAAGCCAACTGGGTTCAATTCTTGAATGAAGCTGAAAATCGTAAACAAGATCAAACACAAATGTCTATGGCAAAAACAATTAAAAATAAAGGAAAGACAGACAGTTATCGATTCTCCAAAATGTATTACAAAAACTAAACCCTACAAATACTAAAATATAAAATATGATCCCATATGATGATATTCTTTAATTAAATTACACAAACAGGACATGCCAATTAAGCCTATGGTTTCTTTTGCATTAGCACAATCAAACTTTCAACAATATTAATAAAAGAATTTGGATCTCAAACGTTGGTTCAAATTAGTCAACAAAGTTAAATACATTAAAACTGCTAAAGCAATTCTAGTTTATTTTGACATAATAGACAATATAGTTTAATAGTTTATTTAGACCGAAATTATTTTTAATTTAATTTTCAATTTTATATTGCTAAAGGATTAATTATGGGAAACCCACTTAGGCCCCTGCTCGCGGAAATTTTCATGGACAATTTAGAAAATATCATAAACATCCTCTGAGTAAAAGTTTTCTTTGGTGGTATAGATACGTAGATGATGTTTTTGCTTGTTTCACAGGAACGTCCTTTTTGATTCATATTAACCCCAAATGTAACCGTATAAAATTTGCCATAAAGTTTCTGGGCTTACTATAACTAAATTACAGAACAAATTAGATTTTTTCATTTACTATACAAACGCTCACACACGGACGCAGTAATACATAATAATTCAAATTACCCTTACACACACAAAATGGCTGCCTTTTATTCTTTTATCCATCGACTACTTAATATACCATTTTCTTTGGAAAAAGAATTGAATCTTGTAAAACACGTAGCTAATCTTTGTATCCTCGTTTATTGATGAATCGAGAATTTTGGACTTAGTTGTTTTTTCCAAATATGTCGTGGGATCTCTGGTGACTAGTTTGTATATTGGGTCGTTCAAAATATCCTCCAATTTTGCATTATAATCCGATGTATTCATGACGACTTGCTTCGACGTTGGAAACGATGTCTTCGACGGGTACTCTTTTTGGAGCTATTGCATAGTTAAATCCTTTATTCAGTACGCTGGCTTCTGTATCGGAAAGATGGTATGCTGAAATATTATGAACTGTACTGCTTCGGTTTGTATTTGGCACTTGTCCTGATTTTTTGAAATTTGACTGAAGGATTTCTAATTTCTTCCACAGTTTTTTTGAAGTGATGTCCTTGTCTTTCTCAGTGCGCCATGATGTTAATAATTCTATGCGGTCCCACAGCAACTGATGGATCTCGTTGCTCAGTTTCAGGTGGAGTCTGAAAAGTTGTAGCTCAGTCTCACTAATTTCGTACCGGGTGCGCCTGATCTGGTCTTGGAGTAGGGCCTTGCTAGCTTTGTCCAGGATAGCTTGTGTCTTTCTGGCGCGTGTGTGATAAGACAACCTTGTAAATGTTGGCAGCAAGTTCTGGTTGCGGCAGTTTTTAAGAAAATTCAAGTTGCACAGCGAAATAACCCTCCTTTGTCTTAGTTTTTCATAACACTTGGTGTCTGTAAAGGTCTCCTTCCCGTAAAGGTGTATGATATTCTCACGTATTGATTCACGGATGGAAAAATGTGATGACACTATATTCCGGGATATCATCCGTTCGCTCGTTGAACTCCGACTGGAATCCTGCAGACGTTTTGCCAAAATCTCACTTGGCATCTTCAATGCTCGCGCTTCGAACACACTTCGAACACTGGGAGGTTATCGGCGGTGCGTGCGGTATTTATACTCTGCGCCGGAGATGGTAACGGTGCTGCTTGTGCGTGGGGGGAGGTGGCTCCGCCCCCCGAATTGTCGCGTTGTTAATTTCGCCCGATCGTAGTTGCGATGTCCCCGTTGGCATATATATATATATATATATATATATATATAT